CCAGGGTGTTTCCTTGCATTTGGTCCAATGAATTCTGGTAAAAACAACAATAGTAATTATCACTGTCTGGTGTGTTTTTACATTCACAAAAAAAAACATTTATATAAGCTCTTGAGCCTATTTTCAAATGTTTTTTTTGGGTAGAACTGGACCATGCAAAGGTTGCTCAACTTCAAATCCCAAGATCATTCACTTGACCTAAAAATGCTTCATTCTTTTACACCAAGACAAAAATATGTTTGGACATATTTGGACATCCTGTGTTTCTCCCGATTATTTCATGAGGATTATTTGTTTTCAAGGATATAACACATTTATTTAAAGCAAAAAGATCACTGTGTTGCAAATGCACATTCCTATCCGACAAAGAATAATTTGCATATATGAAGGCGGGTGACAATATCTTGTCTCTTGACCGGATGCATTTAAGTATATCAAGGCTAGGTTACCACAGATGTCTGTGAAGAATCATCTCAGTCACTGCAGCTGCTGCTTCGGTGCTGTTGTCACCCAGCTGGATTAGGTTCAGTGAACCCGTAGAGTCATTTGGTCTGCCACAAAGGCTGACTGTTCATCTGATGTTGCTCTTTTGTGAGACCAAAGAAGAAGCCAATGGTAAATTTTGAGCTTCCTGGAAATACTGAAGCAAGCAATAGGACCAATTTAGGTTTCCAAGTAAAGTATGTTTTGCGTCATGTTTGACTCAAGACAAGTATGAGGCAACTAAACTAGTATTGTTGGTAGTTTATTGAATTTAAATGAAGTTGAAGGAGAGGTTTGCTCAAGCCTAAACTTAGTTGGTGTTACTTTGCTATAATGGGACCATATTTCGAGACTCAGTCAATTTTTAACTGATTTGTTGAACTACTATTAATGTGCATGTAAAGGTAGTCAAACTGTTTCTCACACTTCTCACTCTAAGTTCTTTTTTTTTTTTCATTTTTTAGCACCAGATATTTTTGGCTTGATATAGAGATGGCTCTGTTGTATTCAAGTGTCCTAAGGACCCTGAAACTGCACCAGCTAAATGGAATGCAGCCATCATTAAATTTATTATGCTTTTCTTGCTGTGATATATCAAAATTACCTCGAATGAAAAAAGGCATCCACAGTGGTCCCCAGAGAGATCACTATCCCAGAGATCATTTTCATTCCTGTCCAAACAGCACATCTCCTCACAACTTTTTAAAGTCGAATTGGACCAGACTGATGTATTTAGCTCATGAAACCCAAAAATGTTCCCTCTGAGTGGATGTCCCCAGACCCCTACAGAGGTTACGTCACTGCTTCTGGTCTATAAGCCCCTGATGTTCTATAATCCCACCCATGGCTCTGAATGTAAGGCCATTTTTTCATTTCTGTTTTGAATGACCCACGTAATCCATGGCTGGCTGTACACCGGGCCGTTAAATAAGTCTGCTCTTGCAGCAGAGGTGCACCAATCGACACTCCATTCATCCACACTCCCTGGCAGACCGAACTCTCGCATTTGTGTGCAGCTGGACCCTTTCATTATTTACACTTGAAATGATAATGACATCATGTGTGCACAGCTGCACTATTTGCATCCACATGGCATGCAGCTGAATTTGTGTGACAAAATGGATAAGTGGTAATGAATCCTCCTGCAATATTGACATGCTAACTATGTTCAGAGTTGGAGGTTTTTCTTCATCTGTAAATTAATAACATAACACATTGAATAGAAAAAAGATACAGTGCTCTGAAACAGCAATTTGCAAGAGTGATGAGCTAAGTTTGAGCCAAGGGAAGTTCATGGTCAGGATTTTTTAAGTCAGACAAGAACACAATGAGGAGTATAGACACATTACTGCCAATTGAAATGCATCACTTCTACCTGTGTGGGTTAAAACAGATTTTGTGGAGCTGGCCGCTTCAGTGCCATGATGGGCTGAGGTTCCTGGGTAGCGCATCTCTCTTTGAGGCTGACTCTTTGATTCCCCACTGAGTCAAATTTAAAAGGTTGGAGGGAGATGAATGCCAGTATTTTGTCACACTGTACAGTTCGTGCAGATGTTAAGAAGAAGGTAGGATGATTGGCAAAGGGCTGAGAAGATTTTATTTCATCTGAACAGGTTTAACATATACAACTCTACCAGGCAAGCACATATACTTACAATCATGTCAGTGATAGAACTGCTACAAGAGCCTATTAGATTATACAAAACTTGGCCAAACATGTGATCAAGCAAGCCTAGAAGTTACAATGACACTGAATACTAATTGCTGCTTGTCTGTTCTTGGATGCCGCTCAATTCACACAGCACTGAGTCAGATATGACTGAAACATTGACATGCAGTTCTATGAAACGGAGATGATGGCATTTTGTTGGTGTTCTCCACAAATAGGGCTTTGGAAGAGTGTGTCACCTCAAAACGATGCTCTTCTCACTTTCACCATCCAAATTGCATAATCTTCTCTTGACATGCTGTCAAATCTATTTTGGGGGCATTTTGTGTCTCTGGTAAACCTCAGAGCTGGAAATACTGGTAGCCTATTTTAGAATAGTGGAGCAATATTTTTTTTGCAGTTGCTATTCAACACAGCAAATGCAATACTTTTAAAGACATTCCTTTCTAGATTATGAAATGTCTATGTACATCAACATGACATGACTACTGTTAGTTATTCTCGACAGAAGACATATTCAGTGTAGCTTGTCCAGATTTTGTCCTCGTTTGGATCATTGCTGGTGTAGGCGCAGGTGCCTGTAGAGCTGCAGGCCACCATGTGGAAGCCCACCTCTGTCAGCTTGTCAAATGCCTGCTCTAGAAAATTATACTTCAGATAGTACCGGGATGTGTATCTCTCCGGGGGCCTGTCCGGGTCTCTGCTCTCATTCAGCGTGTCCCCAAACACTTCTTTGGCCAGCGAGGTCTTCCCGCAAACCGTGATGCGCGCCACTCTCCTGAATTTGGCATCGGTTTGGATGTCTCTCCCAATGGTGTACGAGCCTCGGTATCCTATCGTGATATAGCCCGACTTTCTGGAGTCCAGGGATGGGGAGCGCATGGCCCCGCTGACAGACATGGCGCGTAAAGTCTCCATGCCGCCAGAGGAGCCGCACTGCTGCGCACCTTCCTCTGTGTCGCTCTGGCTGATCTCCTCGCTGATTGAATTATCCTTACTCACCCGGGGGCTGAGGCGCTTGGCGAGGTCCCGCAGCTGGAAAAAGTCAGCCTCCCTCTGCAGTCGACTTTTCTCGGGGAAGTAGTCCGGGAGGACCAAGTTGAGGTCTCGGAGATAATCTAGGATGTAGCGGAACAAGAACCCATCCCTGTCCAAGAAAAAGCGCCCTTTGCTGTCTCTCGCCAACTCCTTGGGTGACTTCTTGCTGAACATGTTCCAGAGGAGCGAGTCTGGGACGGCGATCAGAGTTTTGTGTCTGGTAACATAAACCTGTCCGCCGACATTCAGCTCAATGATCTCTGAAAACGGAGATCCCGAGTCCCCGCAGTTGGACACCCCGCGCTCTGTGTCGGCCAGTGCCATCCTCTCTGAGCCGCTGCACTGATGTGGGATCAGTGGAAACACTGAGCAACAAAGTGGCAGCGGCTTGTTTATGAAGCCTGGGCTTACCACGTGCGTGAGTGCGCGTGCGTGATGGGTTGACTGTTAAGTTGACATTTAACTATTGAATGGCTGACTTGAAAAAAATAAGGGCTCATAGCCCCCCCCTCTCTCTTCACACACACACACACACACACACACACACAGAGAGATGGAGAGAGACTGTAATCTCCTCCAGCATCAGTTAAAGCAAACACCCACATTTGATTATGTGTCATTTGTTCCTTCCTGCCCTGTTTGACATGAATTTATATTTATTGTTTAATTAATCAAATAAATTGTTAGTTTTTTTTTTCAAATCCCATGGGAACACACAAAACCAGAAACCATGCAAATGGCTTAAGTTATTCAAGCTTTGAAATCAAGACATGGTTGTAAAATATGGAAAGAGTGACACCCATTGCAGCTCTGAAGGAAATGCAGCCAGCATCTTAGACATCACAGAGACACACACACACACACACACACACACACACACACACACACACACACACACACACACACACACACACTCAGTCAGTCAGTCAGTCGTCACCACCACATGTTGAAGTCGGCAGTGCAAACTGTTGAAGTTGAAATAGCTAAAAAAAAAAAAATGGATAAATGAAACTGTTAAAGTAATAGAAAAGCAGTTGGAATTGTAAGCTATAAGTAATGAAGAAGCACTTCATATTATATATATATACATATATATAATAGTTAGCTAAAAGTAATGAATAAATAGATAAAAGCAGTAGATAAAGAGGTAAAAGTGATGAAAAACAGCAGAAATAGGAAGCTAAGAAGTAATTGATATCTGGGCTTCTGCCATTCCAGTTTGTGTAAGTGTGAATGTATACTTGACCAAACAGCTAAATACTGACAGTTCCATTGTATAAAAACTATTGCATTAACATCCACTTTTAGTGCTTAATAATATCTGGAACATAACAGGCGGTGGGGTAGTCATTGCAAATGTTTTTTGTAATGTTACATCCAAAGACAAAGTCTTGTGATTGTCAGTGAGTGAACTGGTTGAGCTGTGTGTCATTTCCCTGTTCAAACTTCCCATTACAGAGAGCTGAATTTCCATTGTCAGTCATCTCAAAAATAGACGGGTTGTGAAAGACAGCATGATTTCTTTGTCAGATAGCATAGGATGTTTTGAACCGATATCTGGAATTAAATGTGGCTTTCAAATTCAAACATTTGGAATTAAAACAAAGCAAAATCAGGTAATTTAGTAGATTTGCCATCCACCATTTACCAAACAATGAAAATCAGGAAAAATTAATCAAAGGCTATATCCAGTCATTGTGAAAGTTCCTACTTCTCATTCTGGTGGGTTTTACCCACTTTGGAAATTTGGTGGACCAACCTTCAGATAGTCCAAATACATAAAAGGCAGCTGCACTTGAATACTTGGTCATTTGAAGCATTGATGAGCTGTAACAATGATACGCAAGGTATAGCTGTTTTCTTTCATACTCATATCTTTCCTTAGATTACATATTTTAAGCATTTCACTACATGTGATTAGGTGCAGTAGGTAGCTTTTGGAAAGTGTTTTGGGGTTTAAAGACAAATACATGCAGAGTATTTTAGTTAATTAGTCAGGTCTCTGGGGAGGTTTGCACCTTGAGGTTTAGACTGACTGGTCGTGTTTCACCTTACCAGGGTATTACAGAGAGCTTTGGAGCTGCTATCCATGCCCTCAACACCGCTCGGCTAACAGATGGTGTGATTAACAGAAGCAAAAGGATGATTCTGGACACCCTGGGCGTTGGGTTATTAGGAACCAGGACAGCTGTCTTCAACAAGGCTCTCACGTACAGCCAGGTAAAGTAAACTGCTTGACGAGTGGAGGTATATTAATATAAATAAATTAAACTCCAAATGAGAAAGCTTTAATTCTGACTTAGCGAAAGTAAGCTTGAAAACACCACAACGATGGCTGATATTAAATTCTAAATTAACAATATTTGTCAACCCTCTATATACTATATATCCACTGTGTGTCTTTAGTAGTGTCAACTTGTGATCATCATTAAATCTTTATTTATTTTCCGTCATTAGAAGTTATGTGATCCTCACATACTAAGCTATTTATTGTACAGCTGACAAATACTGCTACTGCTAAGTATAGACCCACTATATCTACTATCAATAAAACCCACTATTGTGCAGTGTTCGTGCTTTCCTTTTCTATAGGGTGTTTATATTATTAGTCTACTTCTTGTACTTAAATAGGCCAAGCTGTAGATATGATCCATTTTATTCTGCTGTTTATTCAGAATTGTGGAAGCTGGAAACATCCCTACTGAGTTCAGAGTTTATTTACATCCCCATTTAATTGCACTCTTACCCTCATTAATCTGTCTGATTGCAGTTGTTCACATCTGAGGAGAGGAGCAGTGTTTGGGGTAAATCAGACATAACTCTCCCTCCTCACTATGCTGCATTTGTCAATGGCATCGCGGTACGTTTGCTCAAATAAAAGCATCATATTATATAGAAACATGAAAGTGATGTGGATCTGGCTTGAGACTGATCATTGGTTCTGTCACATTGTCTGATGACAGGTCCACTCCATGGACTTTGACGACACATGGCATCCTGCTACTCATCCCTCGGGGGCTGTGCTTCCTGCACTGCTGGCCCTGGTAGAGACACTGCCCAGCCAGACCTCTGGTCTAGACCTGCTGCTGGCCTTTAATGTTGGCATCGAGGTGCAAGGCAGACTCATGAGGTTCTCCAGAGAGGCATACAACATCCCTGAGAGGTGAGATATTTGGAAATATTAACCAACATTTGAGTTCTGTGCATATTTTCCGTCCAGTTGTAAATTGGAGTCCAGTGGAATTACTTGAGGATTAAAGGGCTGATTCACCCAAATCACAAAAAGTGCAACAGCTACCTCTAGTGGTAACTAGTCATGAAGACAGTTTTGGTTTTAGACAGTTGGGTGGTGAATGGATTTTAGTGTGTGGAACTCACAGCATTCGAAAATGAAATCTAAAAACATTTCCAGAAAGTGTCCACACAACTTGATGAACCTCTCTGTCAACAGTTTTCATCGGGACGACTGGTTTGGTACACAGTAGTTTCAAAGGAAAACTAGTCACCAGGGTGTGAGAATTAACCAAAAAACAAAACTTGCTGTAAATAAATAAGTAAACAAAATTCCTGTCGCATCTAAATCATTGAGGTAGCAGCACAACCTGCCAAAAAAATTAAAAGTTTACTTTTTGTAACTTAGGTGATATGACCATTTATTGCAAAGCAGACAAACCCGAACTTGTGCCACACACCAACAATTATTATCATTATTGATTAATCAAAAAAATATTTTCTCAATTTACTGTTTGGCATCTAAAATGTCAGATAATACCCGTCTTTTAAGGCTTCAAATAGCTTGTTTTTTCTTACCAACAGTCTAAAGCTTGAAAAACTAGCAAATCCTCACCTTTGACAAGCTGGAACCAGTGAATGAAAAATGAATTAATTGATTATCAAAATTGTTGTCAGCTAATTTTCTGTCAGTCAACTATTTAATTAATTATTTCTAATTAATTATTTAATTATTAATTGTTAATTCAGGCCTCATCAAAGCCTCATTAAACTTGAATATATATACTAAGGTTTTGGTCATCTTTCTCCCTCTCTCCTGACACCCAGATTCCACCCTCCCAGTGTTGTTGGGGTGATGGGGAGTGCTGCAGCCTCAGCCAAGCTGCTGGGTCTTTCCCCTGCACAATGCAGTCACGCTCTGGCTATCGCAGCCTCCTCTGCTGGGGCTCCCTTGGCCAACGCTGCCACACAAACCAAACCTCTCCACATAGGAAATGCTGCTCGGAGAGGCCTGGAAGCTGCTCAGCTAGCCCAGATGGGATTGGAGGGGAATCCAGCCATCCTGGATATGGACCATGGGTTTGGGGTTTACTACAAAGACTACTGTCCTTCAGCAGTTGCAGATTCTGCCTCTGGCGGCTTTAAATGGATTCTGGAAGATCAGAATGTGGCCATCAAGCGCATCCCTGCTCATCTGGGGATGCACTGGGTTGTGGATGCAGCTCTGGCAGCCCGCAGACAGCTTGAAAATACAGTTGGGAACTTCGACCTCAGCCACATCCAGCACATCACACTACGAGTACCTCCATCCAAGTACATTAACTGCCCCTTGCCTTCCACAGAGCACCAGGCCAGACACTCATTTCAGTTCAACGCCTGCTCTGCTCTGCTGGATAACAAAGTAACGGTGGCCTCCTTCAGCGAAGCTCAAATTAACCGACCTGCTCTGAAGAGGCTTCTGGCTAAAGTGACGGTCGAGAACCCTGAAGATAACCCACCCAGCTTTGACAAGATGTACTGTGAGGTCCAGATAGAAACAGATCAGGGGCAGACTTACACAGCCAGGTGTGATACCTTTTATGGCCACTGGAGGAAGCCACTGAGTCACAAGGACCTGGTGGAGAAGTTCAGTGTTAATGCATCTTCGGTGTTGTGCACAAAGGGGGTGGAGGGAGTGATTGATGTGATGGGAAACCTTGAAAGAGTAAGTGAATGCTCAGTCTTGGGCTCATATCTGAGGATGACAAGTAGTCCACATAGGCAGCTATACAGCAGGAAGGTTTTCTAATTGTACAGTATGTGATGAAGCCAGTGTCTCTATGATAAACTGTATTTTTGTGTAATATTTGAAACATTTCAATTATCACACATTACGGTGCATGCCATACACATGCATGCACTCATCTTTTTCTTCTGTGGTGTTTGGGTGTGAAATAAAGTGAACTGAAAAAGTGAACTTTTTCATTTTATTGCATTTTTTTGTACAATACCATACACCTATTGATTTTCAAAAATCTTAAGTCTAACCTAATTTCTGTCATGACACTGATCCACTGCATCTCAGTACAATTCAGTAAGATCGAGTTAAACTGAGATTTTTGTCAAATAATAGAGACACCTGAAATATTAGACCGTGCGGTGCACATTGCTGCTACAAACATGTATATTTCAAGAGTATCTGGAAGTGCTTCTAATCAAGGTGATACTTCATCTTCTTAAAATCAGCTCAGCAGGCAACTATCATAGAGCTCGCTAAATCGACACGACCACCGTTCTTTCCCTTGTTTCCACCATCTTTTGAGTTTCACTAGGATCAAGCAATTTTCAGAACATCCCGCACCATCGCGCCAATTCCGTCAAATATCTCATGGATGGGAGCGTTGCACATGAAGGCACTGGTGGTGACCAGCTTGTTCTTCTCGTCCACGTGGCTCTCGCTGACGCTCTTGCTCATATGTTTGCAGCCCAGCTGGTTGATTGCCGCTGCAGTGTCAGTAGTGTCGGGGTACCTGACAGAAAACAAAAGTGGGACCGAACAATGTTTAGATGTTTGAAAGCAGACAATCAAGGAAAGTTAATAATAAATAAAGATTTATTCCAATTTATTTCTAATGATGAAAATGACACTAAAGGTACGTGTAGGTGAGATTAATTAATTGGGTGAGATTTTATACACACGCATGTATTTTTTTGTCTTGTCATTATCATGTTTTCTATTTTGACTTTTAATCTCAGGCCTTTCTCTCAGACTGGCCTCTTAGTTGATGCCCTGATTTGAAACACCTGTCCCAGTTGGTGCAAATGTCAGGTGACTGCTCTATCTTATCCTTAAAAAGGAAGTCCAGCCCCCCGCTAGAATAGATGTGATAATTCTGCAAACGCCAAAGTAATTTCTGAGAATCCAAGAGGTCCAGCAGTACAAGAAACCTGAGCCTTCACATGATCCAACAGATTGCAAACAAGCCAACAGTTGAGCCAAAATATCTGAACAACTTCGTTGTGGAGTAAAACCGAAAATGGGCACACCCAAAATGTGGCAATGATTACAACAAAAAAATCGAACTGTGCATACGTGATATTTTCACCATTTGCCTTTGCTGTCACTTCCAAATAAATCTGGAAAAACCACAGGGTCATCTCAAATCCCCAAAAAATAATTGCTTGCATTTCTTAGCCTGTCAAACTTCCCTTTTCAATGTTGCTGCATTCCCAGACCTCAGCATTTAACTTTGTAAAAGAAAAAGCAGAACTATGACAAAAAAACCCAGGTTGTAATGAACTGGAGTTATACAAGAAGTAGTATGAGGTGTTCTTAAACAAGTTAGACTCACTTATCATCCTTCTCAAGGCCAACAGTGACCTCACACCCAGGAAACACCTTAGCAGCCAGGACAGGTGAGATGCAGCAGAGGCCGATGGGTTTGCCCTCGCCGTGGAACGCCTGCAGCACGGCCTTGACCTCATCATTAACAGAGCAGTCCTTCCCCTGCACTGCCCATGTACAGAGGTTCTTCGCTGCCCCGAAACCACCTGCCCAATATCAAAGAGAAAATTCATTAGGCAGGAATATTAATAGGTAAATACAGGCCCTGGTTTCAACCTTACAGGGTCTCAATCAAGACTGAGACAGTATTTAGCATTTAGACTTAACCACTGAAGCATGTAACACAGGACAGAGAGAGAGGGAGAGAGAGCAGGCTGTCATGTTGTTATGACCACACCTGGGAATATAACAGCATCATGGTCTTTAACACTGAGTTTAGACAGGTCCTGGATGTTTCCACGGGCCAGCCTGGCGCTCTCCACCAACACGTTTCTCTTCTCTTGAGACGGTTCGCCTTTCAGATGGTTCACCACATGCATCTGGTCAATGTTGGGGGCAAACATGTCTACCTGCAGGTGATAAAAGCAAAGGTGAGGACTTCATAACATGAAAAACACCAAACACCATCGACACAGCAACTAATGATTATTTTTACCTGTTGATGCTTTAACCTACAGTCATGTTGTGCAGACTAGAGCCCTTTAAAGGACAGGTTCATCTGAGGAACAACTTCCGTGACTAATAACTCCTGAAGTGTACATATGGACAACTGTATTTTCTAACTGACTTGAAAATATGTGAACCTATCCTTTAAAAAAGTGTCATGCACAATATGTACAATTTAGCTGATCACAGTCAAATGTGCACAGCAGTTTTCTGGGCACCATAAAGCAAGGGTATGTAACAATTTCAGTTTGGTCTAACAAGTTGTATAGGTCATGCCCAGACCCCAAAGCCTGCAGCATGTGTATCTAACTTTTTGTCACATATGCAATGAAGACAACAAGAAAAGAGGAATTTGTATTTGTATCAAACTACTAATAATCTGGTTATAGAGTGTATCTCACACACTTTTTCTCCAGTTCCCCCAGCACAACATACAGTGTGCGTAGTTGCAGATCAAAGCTACCTAACAAACTTACATTCGCACCTCCTCTGCTCAGGTGAACCAAAACAGCGGAGGCCTCGTGGATCTCACTGCCATCATAGACTCCGCAGCCCGCCAGCACCACGGCCACGCGTTTAGCCATATGTGCTGAATAATAGCTTTTGTTCACCGTCTGAATGGTCCTGAGTGTCAGGAAGTTACGACCACAGTGGTGCAGCAGGGTGAGCATGGCGGACTGTCAGAGGAGAGGACGCCCCCTGCTTCCGTTTCTTCTTCTGCACTTGAGGAGGCGATGTGTACGTAGCCAGGTTTCTGGGTACTTTAGCGCCATCCTGTGTGTAAACCCCACGGTTCAGCTGGTGTTTAAAAAATATTAGAGAGAGGAAAAAGGCTGATGCAAAGGAACAAATAAAAAGGTCAAATTACACTTTGATTTAAAGACATACGTTTTTTAAAAAAAAAAAAAAAAAGGTGCGTGCATGAAGTATAATTCTTCTGCAGTTGGTCACGTTGTATAATGTCTAAACAATGAAAATAATTCATAACTGTTGTTTTTTTCCGCCAGCCCACAACTGATCCAACTACATTTCCAATGAATACTGGACACTTTGGCTTTATTTTGTAAATTAGGCCGACTATACTATTACTTTTTATGCCTTACTATATACTATTTTGTTTTTTGTTTTTTTGTTTTTTTTATATTTTAGTGTACTATGAAGTTTTTATGACTTATTATGCTATGACTTTTTTTTATAACTTTTTTATGCCTTACTACACTGTGACTTTTTAATGCCTTACTATATGATGACGATTTTATGACTTTTTATGCATTAATGTACTATGAAATTTTTATGCCTTACAGTACTATGTCGTTTTTGTGCCTTTCATGGATTATTTTGCTATGATGTTTTTTATGCCTTTCTATACTATTTCGTTTTTATGACTTTTTATGTCTCACAATAATGTCATTTTTTATAAATTTTTATGCCTTACTATACTACGATGTCTTCATGCGTTTTTATGCCTTATTATACTATGACGTTTTTATGCCTTACTATATTGTGTCTTTATTATGCCTTACTATACTATGATATTTTTATGACTTTATATACCTTACTATAGGCTAATATGATGTTTTTTATGACATTTTATGTCGTACTATACTATGATTTTTTATGCCTTTTTATGCTGTACTATACTATGACTTTTTATAACTTTTTATGTCTTACTATACTATGTTGTTTTTATGCCTTTTTGTGCCTTACAATATTATGACGGTTTTGTGCCCTACTATATTATGATATTTTTAAGACTTTATATACATGACTATACTATGATGTTTTCTTTGCCTTACTGTACTATGTCTTTTTTATCACTTTTTATGTCTCACAATAATATGTAATTTTTAAGACTTTTCATGCCTTGCTATTCTATGACGTTTATATAACTTTTTATTCCTTACTATACTATGACGTTTATATAACTTTTTATGCCTCACTGAACTATGACTTTTTTATGTTTGTTTATGTCTCACAATACTGTCATTTTTATGACTTATTATGCCTTACTATACTATGACATTTTTTGTCATTTTTATAATTTACTATACTATGACATTTTTTTATCATTTTTATGCCTTAATATACTATGACATTTATGCCTTACCATATTATGATGTTTTTATGACTTTTTATGCCTTACTATACTATGACTTTTTTATGCCTTTTTATGTATCACAATACTATCACCTTTTTATACCTTTTTATGCCTTTTTATGCCTTACCATACTATGATGATCCTGGGGCCTCTTAGCTGTTACTCGTCCTTCTTCAGAGCTCGTGAGATCATTCTCCATCCGTGGGGCTCCAACCATATAAGCAAACACAAACATTCATCTATCTAATCAGGACCTCCAGATGTGCCCTAAATACCTCAGTGTTCTACACATGTATACAGTCACACATCAGTTACATGCATGTAAAACAATTAAAACCTTGCATTATTCTGTCTATTATACTGTCGTTTTTATGCCTTGCTATATTATGCCATTTTTTTATGACTTTTTATGTTTTATTATACTATGCCATTTTCATGCCTTACTATACTATGTTGTTTGATGCCTTGCCATATTATGATGTTATGATGAATTTTTATGCCTTAGTATACTATGATATTTTTTTGACATTTTATTCCATACGTTACTATGATGTTTTTTGGCATTTTTATGCCTTAATATACTATGACATTTTATGCCTTACCATACTATGATGTTTTTATGACTTTTTATGCCTTACTATACTATGATGTTTTTATGACTTTTTATGCCTTACTATACTATGATGTTTTTATGACTTTTTATGCCTTACTATACTATGATGTTTTTTTGATGTTTTATGCCTTCCTACACTTTATCCTTTTTATACCTTTTTATGCCTTAATATACCTTGACTGATGTTTTTAGGACTTTATATACTTCACTATACTATGATGTTTTTTTGCCTTACTATACTACTGTATGTCCTTAAGAAAAGATGATTTTTTTTTTATGACATAAAGATGAAAAAATTATGACAATCAGAACAACAAGTCAACACTTCAATGTGGCTGGTTTAATTTGTTCATGAAGGACAGATCTATTACAAGGCACAACAAGGTCCCTCTCAGTAACAAAGGTTTGACTGCTTGTATGGTCTTTTGCGCTCTGTTGAACGAGAAAATCTGATGTTGATCGGGAGATCTTCACGTTCCTGGGGCCTCTTAGCTGTTACTTGTCCTTCTTCAGAGCTCCTGAGATCATTCTTCATCCATGGGGCTCCAACCATATAAGCAAACACAAACATTCATCTATCTAATCAGGACCTCCAGATGTGCCCTAAATACCTCAGTGTTCTACACATGTATACAGTCACACATCAGTTACATGCATGTAAAACAATTAAAACCTTGCATTATTCTGTCTATTATACTGTCGTTTTTATGCCTTTTTATGCCTTGCTATACTATGACTTTTTATGCTTTATTATGTTATGACCTTTTCATGCCATACTATACTATGATGTTTTTATGACTTTTTATGCCTTACTATACTATGACTTTTTATGCTTTATTATACTATAACCTTTTCATGCCTTACTATACTATGATGTTTTTTGGCATTTTTATAACTAACTATACTATGAAGACTTTTTATTCCTTATTATACAAGACTTTTTATGCCTTACTATACTATGACTTTTTTATTACTTTTTATGCCTTACTATACTATGACATTTTTATGACTTTTTATGCCTTAATATACTATGGTCTTTTTTTCACTTTTTATGCCATACTATACTATGACTTTTTATGCCTTAATATACTATGACTTTTTATGCCTTACTATACTATGGTCTTTTTTTCACTTTTTATGCCATACTATACTATGACTTTTTATGCCTTACTATACTATTTCGTTTTTATGCCTTACATTAGTAAGTCGTTTTTATGACTTTTTATGCCTTATTTTATTATAACTTTTTTATACCTTTTTATGTCTTACTATACTATGTTGTTCTCATAACTTTTTATGCCTTACTACACTATGACTTTTTATACCTTACTATACTATGACATTTTTATGACCTTTTATGCTTTGCTATACTATGACTTTTATTAACTTTTTATGCCTTACTATACTGACATTTTTATGACTTTCTATTCCTTCCTATACTATGAATTTTCTATGCCTTACTACACTTTGATTTTTAAGCCTTTTAATGCCTTACTATGATATGACTTTTTATTACTTTTTATGCCTTACTATACTATGTTTTTTATCCCTTACAGTAGTAAGTCGTTTTTATGACTTTTTATGCCTCACTTTCATATGTAATTTTTTGCCTTTTTATGCCTTATTTTATTATGACTTTGTCTTACTATACTATGTTGATCTCATAAGTTTTGCTTATTTGACAATGTATTTATTTATGTTCCCGCATTTATTATTTTAATTTATTTATATATATAGATTTATTTTCTATACTTATTCCAACATCCCGTGAAATCATAACTAATGTCTTCTTGTTTGGACTCGTCATGTGATTTCGTGTCATCAACAAAACCATGTGACCACTAATGAGGAAGTCAGTTCAGAGGGGAGGGATCATGGGAAGACTCTTCCTTCCTTCTGCGTTTCATTCTTAATTTTCTGTCTGTTTTTGAGAGGTTAACATGACTCAGACGGAGCTTACTCTGTGTTTAAACCTGCTCTTGTTTCTCCATGTTGTCGCTCAGTTCAGGAATAATGTTCAGCGGCAGCAGTGGCCCGTTCCTTACAGGTATGAAGACACCAAACCTTTATCTCTCCCCGCTGTTTCTGCTCAGTAACGTTGAGTCATGTGACAAATAGAAAATAAACGGAAGTGTTCTGAGAAAGTTTAAACTAATGAAAAAGCCTTTGCCCTCTACTTCTGATTGATTGAGTCCTAAAACACAGAGACGATTTAATTTTCTGTCTTCGTTAAATATCCCGCCACCCTACCAAACTTTAGCTGTTATACATCCATTGAACTGTTAATAAGGATTTTGTGTATTCCAGACAATGTGTGTGCAGTCACATTCAAGTAGTAAGGATCTGATCTGAAATAGATCCTAGCTGCTAAATTATGGATGATGCGTTCACGTGACTTTGGAAACTTTGGACTGTAGAACATCTTGCTGTAGGAGCGTATGAGAAACATAATTTTAGCGATACAAGTGGTATACTTTGTTTAACAAAAGTAGTAAAGATGACATTTGTAAGAACTGTTTATGATTTTTAACACAATAACAGACATATCAGCTGATTGACACAAGACTTAATTGACCAGAAATAAAATCACAGGACACAATCATTTTATATCTATGAAAATCCAGTCACCGTGAAAACCCAGTCACCATATCCACACAAAAACAACTTTGTAATACGCATGAGTACCAGAGTAGTGTTTGAGTACTAAAGCACAACCCTGTCTGGTGTACACCTTTTAAGTTGACATTTACTTGTTATTTCAACCATAATATATTCTACACTAAATTGCCAGTTTATTAGGTACATCTAGTTAAAACCAGCAGTTCCTCTGTATTAGGCTGCATTAGATTTTACTAGGTGTACCTAATAAACTGCCAGCTAAATGAACACCTGATAGGTTTTCCTCAGGACCATAGTATGAAAATGAAGAAAGCATAAATACATCAAAAGTGTGTACCAAAAACCTGAGTTGTGCATTTGAATTCAAATAGTGCAATAAGATTGTGATAGAGATTGTGACTTTTTGATTCATGTGAACTCTCTGGATTTATTCTTGTGGTATTTAGGGAAATGTTTCATTATAAGTGTAAGCAAAAGGAATTATATTTTTATTAAGTCTTATCTTGAATGAAACCACCATGCTGGAAGGGATCATATGGACACTAGGGACCTAGTATCGCCATTTTTGGATCAGACCATTTATTTATGTAAACATAATGAATCAGGATTTTTGAATTTTACTTTTTTATTCTTGGTTTTAGTCATGGCCCAGATTGTGAATGTGGTAAAGGTTGTCTAACCATGTTATAGAAAAGTTTCTGTAGTGGTATGAAACTCTCCTTGGTGCTGACATGGTCTGCGGTACATTTCTCATCATCTCCAGACGGTTTGATCATCGCCCTGCTACAGACTCTTACTGTGACGCTCTCTACCCGTTCTGCCCCACCGGAGACCGCGATGGACGAATTCCCTACATGAGAGACACTGATGTAATCTCAATTTATCGACTGCAAACACCTGTGTGGGAATTCAAGTACGGAGATTTGCTTGGGAAGTTTGTAAGTACATCAGTCCTCTTGTGGTCAAACACACAAAAGTTACCTTCTGTGAAATGAATGAGATTTGAAAAATGAACCAAAAGTGTTTGTGGCAGATACAGGCACTTTAAGCCTGTAAAAAACCTATTTGAGGATCTTTTATTAACACTGACAGGGGCAACGTCAGGGCTTTGTCAGGCTCATGAAAAATGCAATAGGCCGAAGGCTTAAACACACACAATCAATCAATCAGTAATCAGTCTGTTCATCACAGCTAATAACTTATAAATTGCAGGTTTTGTCAGTGGAAATAATAGGATGAAATATTTTAAACTAAATGTAATCAACATTGGATTGGATTGGATTCATAAGGACAGATATTCTCTGTTGTTGATAATTATATTCTCTGAAATTGAGATGAAGAGACGACTGTGTTGCAGCTGCGTTTAGATGGTGAAACGTAATTAAATATAGTAGGATTATATTTATTCATAGAAACACAGCTGTACACACTTCCCCCATGTCCACACACAGAGAGCCAGTATAATGTTTCTGTTTGGTTCACAGCGTATCATGCATGACGCTATTGGATTCAGCAGTTCAGAGACGGGAGCCAACTACACCGTGGAGTGGTATGAGCTGTTTCAGCTTGGTAACTGCACCTTTCCTCACCTCAGACCAGAGGAGTACGCACCTTTCTGGTGCAACCAGGGAGCTGCCTGCTTCTTTGAGGGCATCGATGACTTTCACTGGTCACAAAATGGCACCTTGGAGAAAATAGGAGAAATAACTGGTGAGACTTCAAGTTTAATCCTGTATTGTGAGTTGCTCTAACTCAGTCAGAATAATTATTTTTACAAGTGATGTTTTCCTGTGCTTGTTGATGTCTTCTTGCTTCCTGCAAGTCATTTTCCTTTGTTTTTCCAGGGAGCCAGTTCAATGACATGGCCCAGTGGGTCCAAGACGACAATGAGACTGGGATCTATTACGAGACATGGACAGTTCGCTCTGACCCCAGCCCTAACTCCACAGTGTGGTTCGAGTCTTACGACTGCTCCCAGTTTGTCCACCGCACATACAGGAAATTAACTGAGCTTGGAGCCAAACTGTCCAGTCGCTCACAAACCAACTACACCAAGATATACCTTTACAGCGGGGAGCCCACATACCTCGGCAATGAGAGCGCCATATTCGGACAGCCTGCTCTGAAGAATCTGGCATTGGACATCCGTGAATTTTACCACACATTCAGGCCACACCAGTCATTCATAGACTTTGCCCTCAGTATGTTGGAGGCTTATAAAAAGGTTGTGTTGGACAAGAGCTTCTACCTCTACTACAACTTCGAGTACTGGCATCTGCCCATGAAACCTCCCTATGTGCAGATTACATATGAAGAGGTGCCTTTGCCTTAACATAACACCTGCACCACAGTTACTCACATTAATGATTAATCTGTTGATTAATTGATTATCCAAAAGCCAAATGTATTAGTAATAAATAAGAAGTAGCAAATCTTCACATTTGAGAAGCTGAAACCAGTGAATGTTTGTGGATTTTGTTTTAGAAACGACTTAAATGACGAATCGATTATCAAAATAGCTGTCGATGTTCAAAGTTTTTTTGCCCAGAAACAGCTGTTGAGAAAACAATCTCACCACAAACGTCACATGATGTTCATCAGCAGGTTTTGCTCAGTTGAAAAAATGCCCTCTGCAGTTTTCTTGTAAACAAACAAAAGTTGTCATTCAGTGTCATTCAGTGTTTCTCAACAGAATGCATTGTTTGTAACCCTGAGGCCTAACAAACATGTTTGCTGCATTTTCTTTCTGTTAAATAATTTGCAACGTTCATGTTTTGAGTAATTTGAAGTGTGCATTGTTTACATCTGTGTTTGTTAGCTTGCAGAGCTAACGGTCTTCTCTGACTCTGTTGCTGGCATTGCTGCATTTGAAGCTAAAATTCAAGTCCTGGAGTGTGAGCGCTCAGAAAAACATGGAAATTTACTATTCCATGACAACTGGGCAAACATTAAATATGACCTCCAGAACAGCTACTTTTTTTTTCCAATTTATTGAAAGTAAAAAATTTGCACAAAGCATTTGGTTATTTTTTGTATGTTTGGGATGGGATGATGGACATAAATATTTAGACAATAGAGTTTGCTGTTAATTGGAGAATAACATTTTCGTGAGAATGCCGTTATTTTATATACAGAAAGAAAGTCCCCGCAGTTTACAGTAATAATAATTTATCCCAGGACTACAGCTAAAGGAAAGAAAATTATATCATATCGTGTCATGAATATCATCACCATGATCATCCTATGTCATACTCTCAGGTGGGACTACTTAAGTTAAACTTTGAGCACATGTCCCAGCAGAGATTCTGGGATGTTTGATAAATACAGACACAAAGTATTGCAAAGCATTGGAGGTGATGTTCACCAACATAACGATGAATGCATGTCAATATTTTAGCACGGATTTCCATGATTTCTGGACTTAGGGGCTAAAAATGACTTTCAATTATTGTAAATCTACATGGACGTGTCAGTGTAAATGAATCACATCAGGTCCAGCCTTTATGTTATGTGTTCATATGTGTACAGTCATTATCGAGTTTCATATTTTAATATCGCAACAATTCAATGTTTTTCAATATATAATTTTTGACTCATTCCCACATAAACTTTACATGGCATTGTGAATTTTTTTTATTTTTATTATTATTAACTGAGCTAATCATGTGCACTCTGATGTACTGCACTGTTAGAACTGATTTTACTGCACTGTCTAGAAAATAATGAAATGACAGATGCAAAGAGTACATTCACAAATTTTTATTACCGGTATAAGAGCACATATCCAAAACAATAATTTTAATTTCAAGACAGGTGACCAGTAAAGCAAAGTCGACAAAGCATTTGCCCTACAGAAACTAAAGTAAAGACAGCATTCTTAACACCAGTTTACTCCAAATAAGACTTACTGGAGGATTCTTCTGAACCAATGAGGTTAAAATAACAGTTATTGACAAAAGGGTTTTTATAATGAAAGATAAATAGATTGTCCTTCTTAATCTGTGCTTATGTGCAACATGTTAAACTCATTCAGCTGAATTTTTCAATAAAAGCCAATAAAGGCAAAAGGAAAATGGTTAGAACCAGTCGAATATTGAGACATAGCCTTCACTTCAGAGCTGCTGTCACAGCCATTGCACAAATGATGAAAGACAATCAGGAGATATGTTACTGTACCGTTGAGATGCTAATGTACATGAGCACAGACAATCAGCACATGTATCTACTTCAATGATCAGAGACCAATGCTATCAATAGACTATGTTAGTTCAAATACTACAAAGAAGGAACCGCACTTCTTGCAATTAAGTGTCTCATTTTAGTTTGTGTTATTGTTTGACTACATGAAATGTTTACATGAAAATTATGGATACAAGGAATTCTGTCTGGTGGAAAAATAACGCAAAATCTGGGTTTGACATAGATCCTATGACATACAGTGACATCCAAAGGTTTGTTCACTACCAATAACTATTTATAAAAATACATTTTTGACTAATTATATCTTACATTCAATTACACAGCTTTCAAAAACATGCTGTCAGAAGTCAAAAGCTTTGTGAATTTGCAAGTAATTTCTCAATATCTGAAGTGCCTTCTACCCATTTCTACAGATTTTTAAAATCTATGTCACTCCAGCTGTTTTTTTAAGTACATCCCAGTTGTCTTTTGATGTTTCACTTTTTTGAAATTTTCCAAAAGATGATCAGGATTCTGATAAGTGTGGAGATTATGTAAATCTGCACTCCTTCGTTTTCCTGAATTTCAAGCAGGGGTAGTACAATTTAATTCTGTTTTAGTGTGGGTTAAATTCTCTAAATGGAGTGTGGCGCTTCCTTGTTAAAATCTCTCTATTGTGTTGATCAATGCTAAATTGTATAGTAGTGAACTCAACACTCCTGAACTACCTGCATGCAACAAAACCATGGTGACAGGTGGAAGGGTCAAAACCAATAAAACCAATCTTGGTGCTGGTCTGCTTGCTGGTTATAATGATTGCTTCTTTTTGTCTAACTGAAAAACACAAAATCAATTACAAAAGCAGTATCCATATCAATAAATTACGCAGCTTATCTTCTCTAGTGACTACAGTATGAAAAAGATCCATCTAGTAAAGGATAACTCGCACTCTGGTTTTATAAAAGACACGAGCTGTTAAGGAAACTTCAAACCCTGACAGAGGGTGAAATAAAGAAATAAGTAAATTTCTATTCATAATAATCAAACACACAGCGTTTTATATACAGATGCATTTGACTTCCTTCTTAAAGGAAAAAAAGTTTGTTTCACTCATCTGACTTGCCAATTTCTTTTGACTGAAATGAATGGATGTTTGGGACAGGAGCACTAATGAAATCTGGAAAGACTGTGTTTGTAATGAGACGATGAATACCGCTTCCTCTCCTGTATGTGTGAGGTGATAACATGATACAGAGCAAATGCGGGCTTATAGGAGGGCAGATATTCACAACAGGTTTAGAACTTGAACAGGCAAATAGCAGAAGATACAAATGAAACCTATATAGGAAATATATTCATTTAATGCACCTGAGACACACAAAGGATTAGTTTTGCATTCTCAGTGTGTACTGTAAGCTAATAGCTGAAGAGGCTAGTCTATTGTGATTACAAAACAATCTGAGTTATGAAGGCTGGAGACCAACATCTACCTCCAAATTCAGACATGTCTGTGCACTGTTTATATTTACATAGAATCATTTCTCTGATTGCTTTTTAAAAAATCATTAATTACAGCTTAATTACTTCAACATACTGTTCTTGGTATCTGACTCATCAGAAGCCCAGCACAGTGTAAATAATCAAGATTAAAATCTGGGTCCAACTAAGACTAATTGGAGCATTATTATAAAGCTCATTTCCTTGCTTTCATTACAGTAGGAGGACATGGTTTGTCCGAACAATTATTTGGTTTTCATGTAAGGTGCTTAGGAAATATAACTGTACAGAAGCCTTCTTAATAAAAACAGAGAAAGTAATTTGTCAAGCCAATTGATGCACGATGCAGTAAAGAAATACCTGCATATGTTGGAGAAAATAAAAAACCCATGACATCAATCAACATTGTACACCTTCACATCACAAATATAGAGACCTATATACACATGTTCTGTTTTTTCCTCTGCTGGTCAACTTCTAACATTTTCAAAGATCAACCATCTTCTCTGATGCGTGACTGCGCTCGGGCGAGGAAGAAAAGCAAGATGTCATCAACACTACTGCTGTTTAAATTAGTTTAAAATGAGGTGAAGGACCCAGCCACTCTACTGCAAAATGAAGTGAATTCACGCTCAATTACACCTTCAAAACAAATCATATATGCAAATAACATTGCAGTCATTAGGAAACCTCCAATGCCTTATTGTGTTACAGAGTACAGAGCTGCTATCTCAGACTGGATTTAAGTAGGCCAAGTGGTAGTCTAACAACATGCAATTGTGCACCTAATTGTCCCCAATTACTCCACAATGTTAAAAAACATTGAGAACACACGCGCGCGCACAGACACACATAAGCACACATACACACACTGACATCTCTCATTATATAGATTATCATAACCAAGCTACAATGTCCATATAACTCAGTTTGCAGTTATAAAAACATTGCTTTTCTTAGTCAAATATTTCCACCCACGCTGGTCTGTGTGCTGATTGTTTAATATGTGAAGAAGCCAGCCGGCCCTTTTCTGTCTCTGCATCAGACAAAGCCGGATTCCACAGTCCACAGAAGCTGACAGGCAGAGATTTTTGTGGTGTTAGCACTACATGATAACATTGTGTAGAAGTTGGGTGCCACATTATTCCCCTGCACAGCACTCCACACAGGGGCTCAGCAAGCTTATACTCTCCATGTTGGCACCAAATATTCCACTACAGCTGAGCATTTAAAGGCTTTTCAGTGCAAACATGGAGGCTGTGACTGTTCGACACCACGTACTCAAACTCCTCTCTGGCTTTACTTTACCAGGTCGGCATCATGTCTGGGAACCAGACCCGGCCCAGGTGCTTCGAAACCTCCCAGTGAATCTCATCCAGGGAGTATTTGTGATCGGGAATCAGCACCTCCTCCATGATGGACAGCTGCGACAGCCTCCGCCCACACATCTTGACAAACTCTACAAAAGCGCTGCAGGAAACTTCGCACTCACCCAGGCCGATGGCCGACAACTGGGTGCAGTGCTTTGCGATGCGGATCAGCTCCTCATCAAGAGGACGCAGACCGTTGGCGCACACCACCAGCTCCACCAGACGGGGGCAGTGGAGGCCAACGCGGCCCAAGACTTCCTTGCTGACTGAGCGGCCGAAGTAGAGGTGTGTGACCGGGATCTCCTCATTAAAGAAAGGGCCGAACTCGTCCTCATATAGGAAGAAGTACATGACCAGGTTGAATTTGGGCGAGTGCCGCACCATGGCATCCCAGCTGCTCTTTTTGATGGTGTGGAAGTGCTGGCCAGGGTTCTCGCTCACAACATCGATACGCAAGTGTTCCAGGTGGACGTGTTTCTCCGAAGAGAGGGCCAGCAGGAGTTCATCACTCAGGAGGTGGTAGTTCAGTGCTAGCTCTCTCAGCCCGTGACACTGGTCTGCCACGCACAAGATTCCTAAAAAGAGGAACAGATTGGTCTTTTAAAAAGATCATCAAATCCAGTTTTTAAATTTCTAAAAACGATAGAATCCCTGAAAACCTATGGCCATTAACAGGAGGGAAAAATTTGCTCCTAAGCATAAAAATCCATTGTATTTGCCAGAGGTTGCAGTTGAATCAGAAGTTATTATCACAGCTGACAATTAACAACAGATCCAGGAAAATGAATGTAAGGAGAAACAGGAAAACTACATAATAGTTAATGCATAATACATCATGCGATGTCTGCCAGGCCACCTCAGGAAATGACAACATTGCATGAGGCCAGACAAGAAAATTACAGCGTCTTAATAAGCCACTGACTGGGAAACACTGAAAGCCTTGTGACTCAAAATAGCAAATCAAAAACATTTCATTAAAAGTACAATGCAGGCAGAGATAGAAAATATTTTGCTTTATGTTGTCCGACTACCACAAAAAACAAACATCACACAAAGCATGACAAATGTAATCTTCACAGCTACAGGAGTCTTTGCTCTCATTGTACCTGCTGGAGAGACGTGAGGGCAGCTGCTCATCTTCAGCAGTTTCAGGGTGTCACTGTTGTTGGCCACCAGCACCTTCAGAGACGGATCATCAACTGGCGTGTCGTCAATCTTCAGCGAAGACAGCGACTTGGAGTTGACAAACACCACAGTCAGAGCTGAGATGAAATGAGACTGTGGAAGGACAAAGACGACACACGGAATTACGAAGCAATCAGAGGCAGACAGCACATTTTAGAAGCGGCTAACAAGACATCAACAAGAACTCAGTATAGTGGATAAAATCATTGTCTTATTTAATATTTAATCATTTATATTTGGAATGATGATGCCTGATATATAGTTTACATAGTTTTTCATGTGGAGCATTAAGTTTTTACCAGTAGCCTGATTTACTCCTGATATAACACAACTCTCCTCCTCTCCTGTTCACCATCTCTATGTATCTAAATGATGTCTTTCCTTGATTAAGTTACTAAATCAAAGTAGCAAACAGCATTTATTTGTACAATATTTGTTACAGAAATAACTGCACAAAATCTGGAGGATCTGGAGAATGTGCAGTATGTGTTCACGGTATGTGTCAAAAAAAGTTTCGAGCTGCTCTGATGATAATGCTGATGATAAGTCGTAAAACGACTCATACAATGCTGAGAGCTTCCCAGAAAGATCTCTGTGCAAAGAGACAAAACAAGACTTGCAAAATCCACCTCCAGTGTCCTTCCTAGGCTGCTGAACTAATTACAAATTTGTCCTTTGCCATGCATGAGAACAGACACTCTTTTTCAGCCCCATCCCCAGATAAGATCAGAATACAAAAACAATTCTGTCCACAGACATAAGCATTGTATAATCAGATGAGAATGTACACAATAACAACAAGACTTCCTTTGACTTTCCTTACAAAACTGAAGAACAGGATACTATAAAGACCATGACACATTGAGTTTATGTTAATTGTACCTTTGGAACCTCCATAAAACTGGGCCTGGCTGTTGAGATGAGCCCCAAAGTCTTCAGTGAGCAATTCACCAACTGTGAAAGAATGTCACATGCTGCTTCTGCAGACTCTGTACTACTGTCCACCTGCCAAGCACAAAGATTGAATATCATGCCAGGAACATAAAAACAATATTTTTACACCAGACGATGCCAGCGAGTTATATTAAGACAAGATTCAAGACATTCCTGATGTGTTGCATGTTTCTTCACACAAATAACTGCTTCTACTCTCTTACCTTGAAGCTGACATACTGCAGGTGATTGGAGTGCCTCTTTATGATCTGCTTGATGAGGTCTGGATGTGTGGCTTTCAGGTAAGAGCTTGCAGGCTGGTTAAGCTCAAACTCAAAGCATCTCCACAGCTCGGGCATGTGGAAAGCCTGGTTCCACCTGCGACACACCTGAGAAGCATAAGCCCGGTCCAGCAGTGGGAGGTACTGGAAGATGTGGAGCAGGAGCTCCTGAGGCAGCCGTGCCCATTCGCAGTCTAGTGACTCGCTTGCCGCCACTGCCTCCGACTCCTCTCTCATCTGCTTCCGAACCTTCTTGCGAGCCTCTGGTGGGCTCTTACTAGAGGAGCTGTTGCTGCCCTCCTCAGCTCCTTTCATCCGCTTCATCCTGAAACACAGAGATAAACCAGCTTGTTATGATCCAGCATGCTGAAAAAACATTAGAGACACATTTTAACTACACAATAGATTATATTGATGAGTATTGATGATATATATTGATGAAGTCCATTCAGGTTAACAGAAAGAGATGTGAAAGATTATCCAAACAGTCACTTTGTTACAGGTTTCCTGTTCCAAACACTGCACACATGCACTTAATATGGATAGCACTGAATCTGAAAATAATCTATCCCACTTTCCAGGATAGATGCACAAACATTCATCCTAGCAGGGGATCTGAACTGCTTGAGTGGTTCAAGCCTTACACAAAACAGTTATATAGATCCTTTCACATTCAAATATCCATCTAAATAATACAAGTTTTACTCTTGTTTACAGATAGATAAGGCTGCAATTTTACTTGATAAATGACTGCTGATTGATCTCTTAGACTATCAAATGTCAAAAAAAAAAACTTAAGATGGTCATAAAATGCACATCACAACTTTGCAGAGCTGAAATATTTAGTTTACAGTTATATTTGACAAAGAAAAGCATGAAATGTTCTTATTTGAGAGGCTAGAATCAGAGAATATATGGAAATATCTTACCAATTTTACTTGATAAATGACTGCAGTAATTAATTGATTAACAAAACAGTTGCAAATTATTTTTCTGTCAACAATCAACATATTGTTTCAGCGCTTCATACTTTAATTTTGTTTACTCCTAGCATCCCTGAATCCCCTCTTTCTGATGATTTCCTACTTGTTCTCTTGGTGAAGAATGACTCATCTGACCATATCATTTTTTTCCACATCTCTATAGACCAGTGCTTATGGTTTTTGCACCACTGAACTCTCACATGTGCATTCATCTTTGTAATTAGGGGTTTATGCACTGCAACCCTACTATAATATTCCTCTCCCTCGCTCAATTGTTGACTGTTCTTGCTGACACAGTCTGATCACATCCTGCATTCACATTCTCAGTCACCTCAGGAGGAACCGCTCCTCTGGTTATCCTAACATATAGCTGTTATAAACGAGCATCAAATGTGCACTGTCGACCACAATGTCCGACCCCATATACTGATGTATTTCCCATAGATCTAAACACAGATGTCATTATTCATGATCTATTGAAACACTATCCAGCTGAACAGTCTTTGTGACTCATGCTCCTGCCGTCCCTGCCCCAACAACGAACTATAACTTTGATCTTTACTTCTTGCCATCTTAATATAAAATCAGAATAACCTGGGCCTGTTCAGCACTTTTATACCGGCCACAGAGCATGGATGCTAAATGCTTAATTGCATCGTGCAGTGCACATGTGCAGCAACAGCTGCATTCGTTATGTTACTCCATTCATTTATTCAAGTTTTTCCTTTAATTTGTCACCGGTGTGTACATTTACCGGAGGCACGTAAACGTCTATACATTTACATTGAGAATATACGCAAGAAAGAATATTTAATTTGAGTATTAAATAGCTGGCTGTGTAGCTTGTCTTGTTGCACCAATGCTCGGGATAAACAGAATTAGTAAGAAGTCGTTTATCGATAAAGTTACCGACGCAGTGAATGGATGTAACCATTATTTTGGGTTGCTTACTTAACAAACTCGTGGTAGAAATGTGCCTTCGTATGATAATAAAATTCAAGGTTTTATTCGCAGAATGACCAACAATCTAATTTCATACCAATATAAGATGAATACAACGCAACTTGTCCAAACCTACCTCGTTGTTTACACACAGCTAGCTCGCTAGCTGTTAGCAGGAAAATCCGACAACTGGTAGTCTTGACACTTCAGCCCGGGCCCACGCTGGAAAAACTCATTCGCACCAACCAGACAACACGCATCGGAACACAATAACCGAGCCGTTTGACGATGTAGAAGAGTGAGAGGATGTATTCGGTCAAGAAACGGCCAGAGCCTGGTACCTCCGCTCGATTGACCTAGTTCCTCCGCGGGAGTTACGGCTCCCCTGAATCTGAAATGGCGAAGTGTTGTTGTGACAGCAGCGCTGCATCATGGGAAATGCAATGCGAAATGGCTGTTGGTAAAGATCGTTTCTGGTCGAAAGATGACTCACTTGAAAAGTAAACATATCTTATCCCGTTTCTCTTGAAATGAAACAGACTCACTCCAACAATTATCACTGACACAGTTTCAGAGTTTTCTGAACACTTAAAAAAAACATTTTTGTTAGCTTACACATCAGTTGCATGCAGTTTTCACACTTTATGAGACATATTATCAATAACCTTAAAATATATTTTTACACCCTTGTTGAACGGGTTACACCCGGTAGACATAACAAGGAGCCAGGGCTGGATTTTTTTTGTTTTAAGAGGTGACTGAAAATACTGTTGCCATTCACTGACAAAATATTTTGCAGACTGGTACCAGAGAATAAGACAGAGTAACACACCATTGTATTTTCATAGTCTCTGTTGAGATGCACAAGAGTTTCACCTTTGATTCCAATATTTACAGAAATTCAGTACACACTAACTATATACGACTTTAGTTAAATATGTCAGCGTCATGTCACCACTCGTGAAGAAATGACACAGTGTATACTTTGTGAAACAGAGAACCTGGTTTATTACCATTCAACTCCATCCACCACAGATATTACAGAGCAGATTCACAAGTATTAAGCTTTTTTATATAACAGCAGCTGCTTTTTTTCCACACTCTGTTCCCATGATCCCCCCCCCCCCGTCCTCCCTGCCTCCTTACTAGGGAAAAGCATTACAGGTGCACAATTTATTTGGTGTGAAGACTGGCCCCTCAATTCATTCAGCTGTAATCAGTCTCACTGTGAGGTTCTTTGTTTGTTCTTGTACTACTGTAGGATTTGGTACTTTTTTTGTTGTTTTTTTTTTTAAACAGAGCTGCAAATGGGATTTACATCCACCATCATTCACTGCGGGTGCCAGGCTCCTCCTTCTCACTTCTAGACAACAAAAGAGATCTGACATTTAGAAGAGGGGGGAATTACGACTCTCTACTGTATAAAAATGTACAGTGGCTTTATTGACATACATTCCATAGGTTAAACAGCTGCAAAATAGGAGGCACACCCAGTATTGCACTTCATTTAAAGTTCTGGCTCAAAACATAACCCAGAATATCAAACAAAACTGAAGTGAAGAGTAGCAACTTCGGAATACAGCTATTTTGAATAGTATCGTTATATACAAGATTAATTAAATCGTACACTATTTTCCGCCCAAACTTAATATTCTTAACAGTCTTATCCACCAACTCAACTTTTTTTTGTCCGTCAACCCATGATGCACTTGACAGTGGAGGATACTGTACAAGATTACGAAAAAGGTTTACATACAACAATATTTTAAATTTATAGTTAGGAAGCTGGAAATACGGCCTGTTCCTTTTTTTTTTTTAAACCCACGTTCGATCCACAGTTGCCTTTAAGCAAATTTATTTCATATTCACTGTTTAATCTTGTATTGTTACACTTCAGGAGGTGTGCAACGTCTATAGAAGCCGAGGGAATACAACGGCCGCATGCAAACACGTCACAAGTTATTTTCTTTTTTTTAATCTTCTTTTTTTAAAATTCTATTGTTCTTTTTTTCCCATTCAGGTCACACTGAATCCAAAGGAGCCACAGCTTGTGGTCGTAGCAGGGGCCCAGATACTGATGTTGGTAGAGGAGCAGACCTGAGGACTCTTGGCGTAGAGCAGGAACCTGGTCCAATGTCCAGGAGACTTGACAATGCAAGAGCCAAGCTTCACAGCTGAGCTTCAGCAGCAGCAGCCAGAAATCACAGTAGACAAACTGGTTTTCAGTAAAAGTCTTGTGTCGTTTAAAAGGTGTGGGCATTCCTGCACACCCCACAGCCCAATGCGAACTCCTCCCCTGTAGGCGGGTGAACCACATGCAAAGGGCACTCAGTGCCCTCCAGCTGCTTGCCTTTGGGTCCTGTGACAGAATGGACAAGAATTACATCTCAGCTTTTTTCGGTCTGGTATTTGTTGTTGGTCAGTGTCTTCAAAGACACAGTGGGATGAAAAAAATTCACTCTGACACACTTTGTGTCAGTTGTTAAATTATCTCATTGGATGCCAAATATCGGTAATGGTAGATGTGTGTTTGGATGTTACACAAAAACTTTGTTTACATTTTCTTAAGAATGTGGTCGAAGTCTCATCCTAACCAAACCCCTCCCACATATTTCACTTCACTCACAAAAGACACTGCAACTGCCATGTCATTGTGACTTTAAAGGCTGCATGTACACACTGAATAATTCAACATTTTCCAGAAGAGTAAAGTCAATAGAATTATTAAGTACCTGCAGGACAATGCGGCAATTCCTCCTTGGGGACACTGGTCATCCTCTGGAAGTCATCATGACAGGCGTTGCAGAAGTGTGTGGTGCCAAAGCAGAAGAAAACAGCCACTGAGCAGCAGTACCGGCATTTATACTCCAGGAAGTCGGTGCCGTGCTTGGAGCACATCTGGTGATAGTAACAATAAATCATGAGGGGTAAGCCTATATTTTGTTTTATGAGTACAGATGAGCACCATTTTAAATGAATAGTTTAACATTTTGGGAAATACACTGGTCGGCAGCCATTGAACAGTTCCACTCACAACATGTAGTTTTAACACTGGTTTTTATACAGATTAAACACGTTAATAATGAGCTTTAGAGGTACTGGTAGGTGGATTGTGTTACCTTTGGAGAGAGCCAGGTTAGCCGTTTCCCCCTCATTTCCAGCCTTTGTGCTAAGCCTAGCTAATCATCACTGAATCCAACATCATGTTTAGCATACAGAAATAAGAGTGGTATCAATGTTCTTATCTAATGTCAGTAAGAAAGCAAATAAATGTGTTTCCCAAAGTGTTGAACTGTACCATTAAAGCGGTTGTAGTATAGCTGGGATCCTCCCAGGCATCGTTTACCTACCTGAGCCCTGGAGACATCTGAGCATGCTCCACAGATCAGCTCACTTGGGTCGTAGTCATCTCCCTGTCCTGCCTCTGCATCACAGCGGGCCTCTCCACCAAAGTAGGCCTGGAAGCAAAGGACAGCGTTCATTCTCTACCCCTAAACGACATTTAAATGAAAATGTTTTGCAGCTTTATTTTACATGGTACCTTCTTGCACTTGTAGCAGACATAGTATGCGTATCTGTTCATGGCAAAGCCTGCAGGGTCGTTGTGGAAGCGTGCGCCTGGTGTAGTTATTGCCTCACTCTTATGCAGACCCTCGTACTCCAGCCTCATCAGAGCCTTTCTCCTCACGTCCTCATAGAGCTCCTTGATAGGGTCGAGCAGGTCCTTGATCACAGAGTGATTGATTTTGTTCTGGAAGCAAACAGTGATACAAACAAACCGGTCAGTGTTCATAAAGGTGGCTCTGTTTCATTTCAATTAATTGATTTATGAACAATGCATATTAATCCACTTTGATGTAAATGTGCCAGTGTTAGCCAGCAAGCTAATTTAATTTTTTTCTAATGTTGAGTTACTGAGTCTGTCAACGGCATTTCACAAAGATTACAGTGCAAAGCAGTCATAGTCTGCCAGAGAAAAGATGAGTAAAATGAGCTTTCATCAAAGCATTTAAGCAGACTGAGCTCAATCAACTTTGAGGCGTGGTGGAAACAGTTTTCAACCTCTTTGTTGCTAAATTAATCTCAGACATTAAGTCAGACAGGCGCAGGTAACGCCTTACCTTACAAATAGGACACAACATGAAACCAAACGTGATTCGGGGGCCGAGCCAACGATTTTCAAGCACACGACGAGTACACTGGAGGTGGAACACATGAGTGCAGTCCAGCTGGGAACAGGACAAAGAGTCAAACATTAAACAAGGGCAAGTTTTAACTGAGATGTGAAAGATCTGACACCAAATGGACAAACAGTCATATTCAGAGCTACCTGTACTGCAGGAGCAGCAGAGAGGGCTTCTGTGAAGCAGATCATACACATGTCATCTGCATCCTGTTTCAGACAGCCAGTGCTCTTGTCACAGCCATGCAGACAAGGGAGGCAGGTCTCCTCATTCTTAACTCCTCCACAGGGGTGTCCACAAGGATGAGTCTTACTGCACGCCAGTTTAGCGTACTCCTAGAACACACGACAGAAACCGGTGAGGCTTAGAAACATCACAAATTAATCTGCCTGCTCAGATTTGGTCTTTAATTTCTAGATTATAAAATACACTCTTTACTACAGAACTCTACATTATCTAATATTCTCCTCAAGACAAAGACTCACCTAACACAAATATCTGTCTTATGTATTTTAAATAGGATACAGTGTTTTAGCCAAACTGGTCAAGGTTATTTTTCTATCTTGATAGATAGTTATATAGTTATATGATAGTTATAATTAAGATATAATTGTTCTGTTTGAGTGGATCGACAGATATCGGTTAAAAATTTAAGTATAATAATCTAGGTTTGTTATTATTGTTTTTGTACATGTGTTTATGTTGTGTTTATTTTGTGAGATAAAATCTAAAAAACATATATGTTAGATTATTTTTAGAGCTTCAACTCTCTATCAAAACAATAGACAAGAGATAGTAAGTCATTGAGTTTTCTTGTTTATTGTTAATGTTAAGTACCTGGCAGTCTGGGTCTGAGCAGACACTGCCCACTGCAGACAGCTCGGTGCCATTCCTCGTACCACAGAACCTGCAGGCATCTGAGCTGCTGGAGGCTGGTTTACCTACAATAAACATTAAGATCTGTCAGAACAGGATCACATGCATCGAAGGAGGGCATAAGGAAAGGTTTAATAATAACAATGGCACAATTTAAGCAACTTTTTCAATAACATACTAGCAACACCAAATATAGTCACACAAAACATTGATAGGCTTTGTTTATATGTTACCCGTGTGCTCTCTGAACTCCACCATAGCCTTCATAGTCTTTGAGTCAGCCAGAGCCATGAGCCAGAAGAGCTTGGTCCTCCCACAGCCTTCATGGAGATCCACCTTTATT